GGGTGCAGCTCACTTAACAGTCGCTTTGCTTAGCAGTGGAAATTCTGGTCCCAATTGTCATCATAAGCCAAGGATATATAGATTCATATATAGTTCTGGGTTCATGTCTCTCTGGAGAGCTGGGGATTCTGGGGAGCCACTGCACTCCCACAGTAAATCTGAACAAATGGCATGCCGTAGCTTCACCATCGTACGTAAACTTTTCAGCTCTAAAAAGGCCCATCTGGAAGGCTAGCAATGTGTATGTGTGTGTGTGTGTGTGAGAGAGAGAGAGATTTCCTCCCTTGAAGCTGGAGCTTCAGCAGGGAAGGCCCAATGGGGAAATGCCCCGAGTTTGTCTATTATTATGAATATACTAATGTCCCATCTTATTCCAGGACATTGTTTTAAATGTGCTGCTTTAATGCATGTTGTCTAGTGCTTCCTGAGCTAAATTCAACGGATGTTTGAAACTCGGCTGTTCTGTTTTGAGCTACATATTGTTCAAGGGTTGGGGTTAGGGTTAGGGTGAACTGCTGGATTTACCGTTGCTAAACAAACATGGTGATGTGACATTATCCTTTCCGACCACATTGTTTAGCAATGGAAATTTTGGACCCAATTTCCTTTGTAATTTGAGGGCTCCCTGCACTGCCAAGTCAACCTAGTTTTATGCAACTTGGTGACCTCTACCTGAAATGGGTTTTAAATCCCATCAGGAGCAAATTGGAGAAAACCAGCAAAAGCTTTGCAGAGAGGGGCAGTATGAAGTGCTCGTCACACTGGTTGGGACATCCCAATGGAACTTTTTCCTCTGGAAACAAACTGTCAACTAGGCTAGCATAGAACAGAAGAAGGTCCTCCCGTAATGTTATTTTTCTGGATAATCCGACAATCAGGATACTTTCTGAATGCAGCTATTTCCATTCTTAAAAAGTCATACCTATGGAAAATGTAAGGCCTTTCCCTGCAAAGTCATGTTGTAAATCAGCAACAAATCTGTCCCGGATATGTTCCCTCTGTTCAAGAAATAATAAAAAAAGAAAATCTGTCAGTTTAGGGCAGGAATGTCCAAACTTGGGAACTTTAAGACTTGTGGATTTCAACTCCCAGAATGGCTGGGGAATTCTGGGAGTTGAAGTCCACAAGTCTTAAAGTTCCCAAGTTTGGACAGCCCTGGTTTTGGGAAAAAAGACATTTTTTTTTCAATAGCCTGGTGCCACAATCACAAAACAATTGACACCAAGACTACTTGTCTATGTCATTGCAGAGAGCTAAGGAGATGGAACCCGGATGGAAATATGCAAGAACTCTTCCTTAAAGGGGTAAAAACATTTTTTAAAGTCAGAACTTCAGGTGTTTGGCAATCATGTGACGTCATTTTACAAGGTTTTTTCCAACTTCTGTTTTCAGTAAAACTGCACCCATAATAAACCACTGGTTCTCTTAAAAACTGCAGCATTTTCTCAACAGTGGATTCACTTAATGACTGCCACAAAATGTCGAAAAATGGGCCAGTCACCAACCTGCTTTACAACCATCACAAGTTCCAACCGTGATGGGCAGATCCCGTTACGGTTATAATTCAAGGATTACCTGGATCCAAGAATTGCTCACCTGTGGTATATTGAAGTCTAGCCCTGGCTGACTTCCTGCCTCCCCTCCCCTGAAACACTCCTAAGAAGGACGAAAGTTACCCCTTCACCTGCCTTGTCGAGCTCAAAAAACTCCATCCGTTCCTCTTGGCTGCAGCTCCTGCCAACGGGGGAAACATTCAGCATCCCATTTCGGAATTCAATGAAAGTTCCCCTGGAAAAAGAAATAAAACCACATTTATATATAATTGGAGAGCAGAATAAACCAAGCCCACTGGGCAGAGGTGGGTGCCAGGCATGCCTCATTCAGTATCCAAGAAAGAAAAACTTTGCCTGGACCTGAAATGAAAACAGCAAAAGTGAAGCAAGATCTGAAGCCAAAAAAAGCCAACTTGTACATATCAAACGTTTGCCCAAATCCCTCCCCCCAGTTACCCCAACCCAATGTTCAATCTCCAGCTCCCAAAGGTGTCATGTGGGGCGCATCTTCAAGTGGCCTCATTCAGTTGGTATGCAGAGACAGTTGACCTTGACCAAGTCCAAACATGAGCCATCATCAGCATGCGCAGAAGATGGTGAAAACAAACCTCCTTAACTATATCTCCTCCAGTACCTAGTAATTCCCTTCCCAAATACCATTAGCCCCCACCCTCCCCGTTACTATGGTAGCCAATAGCAAGCAAGCAAAGTGGAGGCTGACAGTGGGTTCCACATAATTTTACCACCGGTTCGCCACGCACCGAAACTGTGAGCATGCGGGCATGCTCGCTTTGCTCATGCACCTTCCACACATGCGTGCGGTCTCTGCGCATGCACTTTGCACATGCACGCAGCTTAGAAAACATGGCTAAATAGGATGGCATAGCACTGCCCCCACCCCACCCATAAGGCATCAATACCGGTTTGCCCCAACCACTGCCATTGGGTGAGGGGACAGCAAGGATAAATGACTTCTTCCTGCCTTTATTATTTTTAAAAATAACTGAAGGCATCGACCAAACACTTTTTTTCCTTTCTCCTTCTTCCTATTTTCTCCACAACAACAACCCTGTGATGTAAGTTAGGCTGAGAGAGGTACTGGCCCAAATTTTCTGTGGCTGTTGGAAATATGTCCTTGGGACTTTGAGCTAGGGCCTTATTTTATGATCTTTTCTGCAGTGGTCGTTAAGCGACTACCACACTTGTAAAGCAAATGCTGTGGTTGTTAAGCAAATCCATTGTTTATTTTGGGCTGGTTTTGCTGAAAACCAGAACTAAATGTCTGTTGTGGCCCACCAGTAGCCATCAGATCTGGCAACAGATTCAGACAGTGAGGAAGTTGGGGAGGAACCTGGGCCAGTCCTGGAGTCTGGGGAAGGCTCAGATGAGGGCTCTGTGTCAGAGGCAGAGGGGGGGGGGGGCAGGGCTGTCTGACAGTTACCAGCTGCCTTTAGAGTCAGACATCAGTGGGGCAGATGAACAGCTGGAGCCTGTTCCCAGTGTGCGCATGCACAGAGTTGAAAGATGAAGGGAACAGCTAAAGAACAGGGGTCGACTTGGGAGGAAGGCCACAGGTGGACGGTGAATGGTCCCTCCCAGAGGAAATAAAAGAGGAGTGAAAGGGGAGTTGTCAGCCTCCTTTATCTCTCTTCAAATGGAGTTGAGGTTTTTCTTTCTTGGATACCGAAGGAGGCATGCCTGACCTTAGTGGAGTTTGCAGGAGACAATTAGTTCAGTTCATTAGGGTGAAGATCTGTTCCTGACTTCTTGCCAAGTAATTGCTGCTACAGCTTGGCATTTGGAAGATATCGGCCTGGAAGCTCTCCAAGCCTGATAAAGGTCTCTAGTTATGAAATGTCATGAAAGACTGTTGGCCGGAGAGGAATTCTGGAGAGGAATTCACTTTAAACTAAATAAAAGAGGTTTTATCGGGACGAGGAGTTGGCTTCATGCTTTTGGGAAGCCTCGGTCAGAACAATGTCAATTTTCAGCAAAAACATTGTAAGATGCCATAATATGGTCATGGGAGGCTGCAAATCACTGTATATTGTAACATTTTATCAGTAAATGACTTTTTTAAATTTTAATCGCAATGCAACGTGTGCAAATAACTGCTTTAAACTTAATGATAACCTCTTTAAACTTGACTGCAAAAAATTAAAAGTGTCAGCCTCTACTTTGCTTGCTTGCTATCGGCTGCCATAGTAATGGGGAGGGTGGGGGCTCGTGATATTGGACGGGAATTACTAGGTACTGGAGGAGTTATCAGGAAGGGAGTTCTTTTCACCATCTTCTGCGCCTGCTGATGGCTGGTGTTTGGGCTTGTCAAAGTCAACCGTCTGCATACCAGCTGAATGAAGCCACTTGGAAGATGCGCCCCAGATGACACCTTTGGGAGTTGCCGATTGGACATTGGGTTGAGGTAACTGGAGGGAGGAATTTGGGCAAACGTTTGATATGTACACTTTCGTGCTTTTTTGCTTCAGATCTTCCTTCACTTTAACTGTTTTCATTTCATGTCCAGTAAAAGTACCTTATTCTCTAATTAAAGGGAGTTGGGTGTTTTCTTTCTTGGATACTGAATGAGGCACGTCTGACATAGAGTTTTGTGACAGAGTTGTCAAAATCTGGAATATCTCTCCCAATGTTTCAGCTTCTAACTTTCACCATTTTAATTCTACTTAACTCCGGTGGACCTCACCCCATATTTAAGAAGTCCCTAAAGGGGGGCAACCCATTACGGAAGTGCACTGACTTGCCTACCATCCTGTCACATTTTTAATGTTTTTCCATTTTGCTTGTTTGAATTTGTAATTTTCATTTGACAAATTAAAACTTTTAAATTTAATTTTTAAAATGCAGGCTGTTTGCCAAGTTGCCCAAAATGCGGCCATATGACCACGGGAAGGAGTATGTGGCTGTTGTAACTTTGAATCAATCCGTACGTATATACCGCTGAGGAGGTCAGTCGTAACTCTAAATTATCACTAAGTGACCAGTCATAAGCTGAGGACTACTTGGAAAGCACTTAGGCACCTACCTTTTCCTGGGGAGCTTAATTTTTGCAATGTAGCTCAGGCAGTAGTTGATCAAATCCTGGAGCAGGTCTTCCCCCAGATGGTCTTGGATGCTCTGCCCAGGAGACACAAAGAAGAATCACAACAGAGTCCCAAACCTCCACAAGCAACTTTCAAGAAGTCAGATCCCAGCAAAATACTTTCTGGGTCCTACATTCTCAAAACTCGGAGGACGGTTCTTTCCTGAACTTGGGGGATTCTTACTGACCAGGTTGGGATCAGATGGGCAGGGTTCTCACAGGGGCATTTTTACATGGGTCCAGCAGCCATGATTTAGCCAAAGGTCTCATCAAGAGCTGCAGTGACCCAGTGGTTAGAGTGCAGTCCTGCAGGCTATTTCGGCTGACTGCCGGCTGACTGCAATTTAGCAGTTCAAATCTCACCAGGCTCAAGGCTGACTCAGCCTTCCAGCCTTCCGAGGTGGGTAAAATGGGACCCAGATTGTTGGGGGCGAAATGCTGATCTGTAAACCGTGTAGAGAGGGCTGTAAAAGCACTGTGAAGAGGTATATAAGTCTAGGGGCCATTCCTATTTATTTTTTTTTCCTTCCTTCCTTCCTTCCTTCCTTCCTTCCTTCCTTCCTTCCTTCCTTCCTTCCTTTTTAGTGTTGAGAATGCAGTATTGCAGGCTGATTCTGCTGCCAGCAGTCCAATCCTTTCCAGCTCAAGATTGACTCAGCCTTCCATCCTTCTGAGGTCAATAAAATGAGGACCCAGATTGTTGGGGGCAAGAGGCTGACTCTGCAAATCACTTAGAGAGGGCTGTAAAGCACTGTGAAGTGGCATATAAGTCTAAAGTCTATTGCTATCACAGCTAAACATCTTTTCTTTTTTGCAAAAGAATAGTATATCTTTACCATTCACCATTGTTGCCAAATTAAGTGACAAATGGGGGAGTCCAATACATCAAATCAGACACACAGTGTGTCAAATAGCCTTGACCTAATTATCATAAATTAGATTATGTTAAATCAACCTAAGGGGCAACCCAAGGAACTCCTGTGAAGCCCAGAAAAGACCAAGGATGGACCTTCTGGAGGGAAGAACTGATGGAGGAACAGAATGTGTTGGCAAATCAAATGGACATTCTTTTTCCTCCAAGTTCCCAATAAATAGCCACTCAGCCTCTGGGACATGATTTTAAATCCACCTATAAGATAAAGGTAAGATTCCCCTCGCACATATATGCTAGTCATTCCTGACTCTAGGGGGCAGTGCTCATCTCCATTTCAAAGCCAAAGAGCCAGCACTGTCCGAAGACATCTCTGTGGTCATGTGGCCGGCATGACTCAATGCTGAAGGGCACTGTTATCTTCCCACCGAAGGGGGTTACTATTATTCTACTTGCATTTTTACATGCTTTCAAACTGCTAGGCTGGCACAGAAGCTGGGACAAGTAACGGGAGCTCATTCCATTACAAGGCACTAGGGATTCGAACCACTGAACTGCTGACCTTCTGATCGACAAAGTCAGCATCTTAGCCACTGAGCCACCTATAAATCCACCTTATACTTGAGCCATTCTCATATCTCTGGTCCAGCAATTCCATAGGTTAATTCCGCCCTGATTGAAGAGGCATTTCTGTGGAGCAGTTGGAAATATGCAATATTTCCAAAAGAGACTATTCTGAGGCCAGAATCACCCCTTGCCTTGTACATTCAGAGGAGCCCCATTGTGGGTGGAGCTCTTTAAACCCAAAGTATTTTATTTACTTATTTAGTTGTCCAATTTATCAGCTGCCCATTTCCATTTAAATCCCCCCCCTTTTTAAGTGAATATGTTAAAGATTGTGAGAAGCTATAGGTAATCTCTTATGACCATAACTGAGCCCAAAATTTCTGCGGCTAAGTGAGACATTTGTTAAGTCAGCTTTGCTCCGTTTTACGACCTTTCTTGCCACAGTTGTTAAGTGACTCTTGCAATGGTTATTTTAGTAACACGGTTGTTAAATAAATGTCGCTCCCTCATTGGCCTTGCTTGTCAGCGGGTCACAAAAGGGGATCACATGATCCAGGGACACTGCAACCGTCATAAATATGAATCGGTTGTCAAGCATCTGAATTGTGATATGTGACCATGGAGATGCCCCATGGTCATTACGTCACTGTTTCCACTTTGTCGTCATAACGTCAAAAGGTGACGAAATGAACTGTTCTGGTTTGAGGGCTACCTGTACAAAACAAAATGTTCATTTGAGCTCTCTTTTCTTTTTAACTGCACCGCACATCGCAGTTCTTATAATATAGGTCATCCTCATGAGTTACGACCACTCATTTAGCAACTGAAGCTAAGAAGGGTTTTACGACTAGTCTTTAGCGTTCTGCAAGACTTCATCTACGTGCTTTTGGGTAAGGAAGAAAAAAGATTGGGGAGCCCTGCTTAAGGTCTAATCCTGCATTAATATCACTATATCAGAGGGATGTGGTGGCTCAGTGGCTAAGAAGCTGAGCTTGTCGATCAGAAAGTCGGCAGTTCAGCGGTTCGAATCCCTAGCGCCGGATAACGGAGTGAGCTCCCGTTACTTGTCCCAGCTTCTGCCAACCTAGCAGTTCGAAAGCAAATAAAAATGCAAGTAGAAAAATAGGAACCACCTTTGGCAGGAAGGTAACAATGTTCTGTGCGCCTTGGGCATTTAGTCATGCCGGCCACATGACCACGGAGATGTCTTTGGACAGCGCTGGCTCTTTGGCTTTGAAACGGAGATGAGCACCGCCCCCTAGAGTCAGGAACGATTAGCACATATGTGCGAGGGGAACCTTTACCTTATCAGACGTTACAAGATATGTCACTTAATCCTAACTTACAAGCTTACCTGTTTCCCAATAAGTTCTCCATCTTTGTATGACACCAGACCATTTTCTGGGAAAACATAGTCGTATTTTCCAACCACTACCCTCCAAAAAAGGAAGAAGAAACAAAAGCAGCTTTAATTTGTATTATTTTGATCAGAGAACATTTCTATGAAATTAACAGGAAAAAAAACTTCTTTCCCATTCCCTCTTCTGAAATCATAAAGCACTTAATTTTTTTTAAAAGTCTGTACAACCACCTCAAAGCAATTGGATAAATGAATGGCATTCAATTGCATATAATGTTGTGCAGTAAACATGCCCAAGAATAACTGACAATCTCTTGATGCCAAAATATTACACCGAGAACTGGTGTGTTACAAAGCAAAGTGACGGTTTCTAACATTGTGTTTATTTACTGTACAAAAATCCCTCTGGGCCCCAATACGAAGCTGGCAGGGTGGGTGCCACCTACTCTTTGGAAGATCTTTATTAATGGCATGCTATTTTTAACTCTTCTTTTTGAAAAGCTGAAAACCACTTCTGAAAAACAATTTTTGGCATGAAAAATTCAAACCACCCCTTATTCTTCCAATACCAATTTTAAGTCTCTGTACTGTGCTGATAGAGTCAATTTCTTCTCCTGCCTGGTTGTAAGCTATAATCAAGTTACCGTTAAATAATAACGACCCCCCCCAAAGTGTGACTGAGTGAAACACAAAAGCTGTTTATCTAATCAGCAGCTCTGCTGTTTTCGCCCAAGGTTTATTTCTCAAAAATATATTCTCTCTAAATTCACAGACGCCAGTTAGCCAGAGAGCTGGAGAGCTATGGAGAGATTTCCCGCCTGGATTTCAAGTCACATGATTTTCCCAACCTGAAAACGGACTTTTCATTCAATTTATGGCAGTTCCACGTGGAACCACACTTTGTGGCCGCATGGCACCTTCTCTTGTTTGCTTAGTGAATGCGATAAATGATATTTTTGCAAGCCGACATCGGAAGTGAATGCGATAAAGAGGGTGAGGACAGCAGCCCAACCCCTAATGGCGACTCAGTCAACTTTGCCACTCCTGGCTCAGCCTCCCACACTTCACCTTTTTCTTACCGTCTTCCCCCAGTTGCTCTTGGATCTTTTCAAAGTCTGAGCCACCCACCACGCCGAGTTTCACCTTCTGCCGCAAAGCCTGGAGGAAATCTGCCATCTTGGGGGTGATTTTCTGGATCGGGTGAGAAAAGAGAAATTGGTGTGTCACTCAGATCAAGCAGGGATTCCAGCAATATTCACTAACTCTCTTGATGGACCCCATCCCCTCCCTATATATTGTAAGCCGCCCTGAGTCCCCTCAGGGAAAAGGGCAGCCTATAAATAATAAAACCATAAAACCATAAACCATTAGAATAATGGATGGAAACTGACCAAGGAGAGATTCAACCTGGAAATAAGGAGGAATTTTCTGACAGTGGGAACAATCAACGCATGGAACAGAAGTTGCCTTCGGAAGTTGTGGAAGCTTCAGCACTGGAGGCTTTCAAGAAGAGACCACCATTTGTCAGAAATGGTGTAGGGTCTCCTGCTTGAGTGGGGGGTTGGACTAGATGACCTATAAGGCCCCTTCCAACTCTGTTAAGCGGTTAGATCTGTTATTATTGTGGCTCACCAGCGGCCAGCAGAGCTGGCAACAGTTTCAGACAGTGAGGAGGTTGGGGAGGGACCTGGGCCAGTCCTGGAGTCTGGGGAAGGCTCTGATGAGAGTTCTGTGTCGGAGGCAAAGAGGGGGCCAGAGCCGTCTGACAGTTAGCTGCCTCAGAGTCAGACATCAGTGAGGCAGAAAAGCAGCTGGAGCCTGTTCCCAGTGTGCGCGTGCGCAGTTGCCAGACGAAGAGAACAGCTAAAGAACAGGGGTTGACTTGGGAGTAGGGCCACAGGTGGATGATGAACTGCCCATCCCAGTGGAAATAAAAGAGGAGCGAAAGGGGAGTGCAGGAGACAATTAGTTCATTTAATTGGTTCGTGACTCTCCGAGACTCCTTGCCAAGTTCTGCAGATATTGGCCTGGCAGCTCTCCAAGCCAGATAAGGTCTGTGACTGTAAATCCTCCTTTGAAACACTTTGCCAGATGTGAATGAGCAGAA